AGCAGAGAGACATGTATGTGCAAGCGAGTGATAAGCAGCCACAAGGCCCTGGAAGGTTCCTGTTCAGCTCCAGTCTACCGATGGCCATCCACAGAGAGTCAGCTTGTCTCCTGATGAGCAGCCCTGGCATCAGCCAGACCCACTTTTACTGGCTATCAGCAGTACCACTGCTGCTTCCCTTGGGTGCAGGGCTCACCTCAGAGTGGGATGTGTGGAGTGCCTTGGTGCAAGAGGGCTGTGTTCAGCTCAAAGCCAGAAAGTCTGCATGTACAGAGATCCAATGCAGAGGTGGCAAGAGAAGTTGTCAGCTGGGGATGGTGCCAGGCTGACCTGTCCGTTGGGAAGAGGTCAGCATGTCACACAGGCTCCCAAGGCTCAGCACCTTCTGGAGGATGTAGCTGAGAGCTGGGTATTGGCTGGCTGGGACCGTAACCATGGCAGCAGCAGCTTCTGCATAGCAACATGGCTTGGGGACACAAAAAAAAAAAAGAAAAAGAAAGAAAAAGAGAAAGAAAAAAAAAGAAAACCAATTACATTCTAATAATTATATAAGCTTGATGGCAGATCAGGTTTGCTGAATGCCTTTCACCTAGGCAGGGCCCACCCCTGGGCACCAGGTGAAGATGTGATTTCTAGGGGAAGCCAAGCACGTGCTCTGGGAAATCACGTTGAGAGTGTTTGGCTGGAGCTGGGGAAGGGGCTCCACCTGCTTCTGTGCTCCTGAAAGCTCTCATTACACTAACAGGGAGCATGGTGGGGAGAGCCATGGGTGCTGGCACCCTTGCTGTGCACTTAATAAAGTGCCTGAAACTCCTGTACGTATTTTTATTAAAAAAGTGTCAGTGCCTCAGCAAAAGGTGGGAGGGAATGACTAAATTGCTGTTAAGCGACATGTTCAGACATGAAATCAAGTGGAGCACTACATTTTTAAATTAGTTTTTGTCAGTCCTTTCCCCAGCATCTCATCAGGCTGCAGCTCCTGGGAAGATGTGTCCTCTCCCTCTCCTGTCCCTGTGGAAGCCCCCTCGGCTGGTATCTGCAGTGCCACTTTCTCCTGTTGTGGAGATGGGATGACCACACTGCCTGATAAACCTTATGCTCGTGGAGGGTTAAGGTACCTGGTGAGAACTGGGAAAAGCACATTGGGTACATCAACATGTGTGGAGGTTCCTCTGGGCTTCACCAGCTCATGTGGGTTCACAGGCTGCTGAGTGGCCTTCACACCATCATGCAGCTCATGCCAGGGTGATGGTCTCTCTCTGGGACTGTCTCTCCTGGGGGCTGGCTGTGGTGACCATGGCAGACTCCTGCTTGACCTGAGTGAGTGGCTTAGTGATGATCCCAAGTTTCATGGCTCTCCAGTATGTGGCTGTTCCCACTGCCAAGTTCAACTCTTGGTCCATGCTTACAGTCCAGACTCACACCCAGCTGTCCATCCCCTGTCCCATTCACATTTAGCTATGTTCCTGCTCTCCTGTATGGCAGCAGGGGCTCCAATGAGGGATAAGGTGTTGCTGGGTGGGGATATAGGTGTGTGAGGCTCTCAGTGGTGCTGTAAGTGGAGCGAACTGTATGTGTGGAGAGGCAGACTTGTTCATGTTGCTCAGCACTGCAGGACATGCCTCTACCACCCACCCTCCAGCAGAGGAGTGAGGGATTCAGCCCAAAATCCGTGATCTCAATTTGGTTCAGCTTGTCTGGGATTTTCATGTGGGGGGTTTAGTGTGCAAAAAATGGCTTTGCAAGTCAAGAGTCAGGATTAGGATCCTAGATAGCTAAAGACTATCCTAGAGAAGACAGCAATGATAGAACAAGGAAGGGTGGAGGAATGAAGGAAAGTTCAGAGAGAAGCTGTGAACCTGTGCAAAGCACTGGATGTCTTCAGGGTAACTCTGTGCCTCCCTTCCCAGCCCGGATGCTGCAGGGACTCTGCCAATGTCTGTGAAGGGCAGGAGCTGTGAGTGCGGGGCTGTGTCACTCTAACATATGCATGCAAGATAATGTGCTGGTGGATACCAAGGAACAACTGATGCAAATTCAGGGATATGCACTTACGTGCCCGGCTAGGAGCCAACATGCACATCCCTGGCTCTGGTATATCAGCATATGCATGGCTACAGTACCTCTCCTGCAGTGAGACAACGAAGCAAGGGGCCCAAGCAAGCTTCGTGGCACACACACCTTCACCCTTCAAGACAGACCAAGCAGTCTTTGAGCTTAAACTTCCTGAAAACATCATGAGATTTTCTCAGAGCTCTTGGGCTGCATTTCTCGGTGCAGAGAGCTCATATATAAAACTTAAAAAACTCATCTGCAGTGCCTCCCTTGAAAGCTTCTTGGGTCAGAGATGTGAAGACAGTCCAGGAAGGGAAGGGAGGGGGCAGGCTGTCATCTCTGATGAGGAGAGTGCTGTGAAGAAAGGAAGAGTTTCCTGTCTGATGCCCACTTGTTTCTCCATCGCTTCTGTTATGGACTATTAAAAATTAACTGAATCATGTTCATCATTAACATGCGTGGTCTTTGTTCTTCAGGCTCCTAGTACCCATTTGTAGGGCTTTTGTTATGTATTTTTCAGCACTTTGTCTCTTTAATTGCTCGCTTCTCTCTGATGTGCTGGGCTGTGGTTTGCAAGTCAGTTGGAGGGAACAGAGTGGCATTTTTGTTGCTCCAGACTGGATGTCAGTGAAAGGAAAGGCTCAGCAAGTCCCAGCCATAGCAGTCAAAGCAACCCCTTCAGTCTCTGGTGCCTGTGCACCAGATGCTCCTTGCCTACTGGTGGGCAGACAGCTCTGGAGTCTTTAATCCATTGTGGAGGAGAGGGAGGGAGGCTTTTCTGAAGCTTAGGTTGCCTTTGCTCCTTTTCACCTCTTTCCTCCCACACGCAGTCCTACTGCTTTTCTCACTCTCTGCTCTCAAATGATGTAGCTGTTTTTGGCACCCCGAAGTGCAGTGTGGGTCTCACTGCAGTGCTGTGGTGCTGGATGCCCTGGGCTCCACTGCTGGCTGCACTGCACAGGCTTGCATGGCTGTGGGGACACCTCCAGCCACGACCACAGCCCTTTCCTGATATTAGTCCCTTCCTCTAAACCTAAGTGCTGCCTTCACTTGAGTTTACTTGGGCCAGGAGGGCCTCCTAACAGTTTGTATAGTCTGATTCCCTATAAAAAATGGATGCAGTGTAGTAATCCTGGCAGCTGGGCTGGGACTGAGCAAATGCAGGAGGTGTGAGCAGCTGCCCCACTCTTGAGGCTGTGGTGTAGGCATCACTGTTGCTAAAGGGAGGTGACCATGCAAGACCATGGTGGTCACAGCTCCTGAGATGTCTCCTCCTGCTAAATGCGCTGGGGAGATGGAGTGAAACTAGAGAGAGGGCTCAGTAGGAATTACATAGGCTGCTCCTGCTGCCAGGAGAGATTTCTCTTTTGCCAGCCATGGAGGAAGACAGGAAAAGAGATTGTAGAATTGGGTACTATCACTGAATCTCCTGGGGCAACCCATCACTTAGAGCTACCAGTCATCCTGGAAGTCATCTGGAGAGCAGGAAGAGATGGGTCAGCTGTTACAGTGCTCATGTGGAGTGAGTCAGACCTCTGCCCACAGCTCCCCAGTGGGATGCTGAGCAGACCTGACAGGCAAAAGTGAAACATCTGCTTCAAACCCTTGTTCTTTTCAAGCTTGGCAAGTCACAAGGCAAGAGCGCACCTCTTGAAACAAAAGTTCCCGAGGGAGAGGTACCAGGAGTTGGGGTCTTTGCTTTGGGAGCAGGGGGCTGTTTGGCACTGAATCCTCCCTTTTAGCAACTTGGGCAGGGAAGAAAGACTTAGTTTCCCTTTGCGTATGGACAATTAGAACTAAGATTGGGACTCACCTCTTTGATCAACAAAAAAAGCCTAGACAGCACATTTCTGGACTTAATTCAAGGGGCGCTGACTGCAGTTTGACAAACCATGCTGTTAGAAAGGGCAAAGATAATCAGAAGTTTCTGGTGCTCTGAACCTCTGTGAAACACCCTGATGGAGGAAGATCTTTGGTCTCAACTACCTTAGTTAGTGTCCTAATGTTTCTGATCAGAAAGATTGTAGATCCTCGAAGCACTGATGTCCTGAGAGCACATCAGTCTTTGGGAAGGACTCAGGTCTCTCTGAAGATGACGTAAATCTTTTCCTTATTTCATCAGTCTGTGGATCAGGGCTGGACTCATCGCATTTTCTGCACAGTGAAGTGAAGTGCCACCGTGATTAAAACAGTCAGCTGCAGAGGTGATGGCAGGAAGTTTTAGAAAGGGAAAGGCTGGTGTCAGCATTTCCTCTAAGAGCTCTAATGCCCAACATGTTGAAATTTAATAATTAAGGAGGTGCTTTCACTTTTTTCTTTTTTTTCTTTCTTTTTTCTTTTTTTTTTTAATAGTCTAACAGCATGAACTAAGCCATTCAATAATTAATTGACAAAGTCGAACTGCACATGCCAGCACCGAAGCTGAGGGTGTGGGCTCAGCCTTTGCAGACAAATGAAGTGAGAAGTAATTGCTTGATGAAGAAAAGGAAGATATTAACATAAGATTTGTCAGGTCCCTCATAGGAATTCATCATAGTGGGTCTGAGGCTTCGAATGGGATTTGTGCTGCTAATTAATCACTAATTAACACTCTAAATTGGCCCAGGCAAGAGAGGAGGGAGGAAGCTGGGGTGATTCTAGACTTCAACAAGAGCAAGTGGAAGGAGAGAGAAATCTTTATTTGTAAGGGGTGATTCAGAGGGAATAAGGAGGAAACAAAAATGGACTGCTCATGCTGGTCAACATCTGCACATGTGTGTTTGTTGTTGGGAAGGGTCTAGCAACACTGACATCCACATGGAGGATCCTAATGTGCTTCAGTTCCAGTGAAGGGAGCCCCAGTTCTGCTCCTGGCTGACTCCAGTCTCCGTCCTTCTCATCATTCTCAGGATGTCTCTGCTGTTGCAGATGTTACATATGGTCTGGCTGGGTTCAACCTGACTCTGGTCCTCTACTGCCCAAGCCTTGCTCCATGTACAGTCTGTAGAAAGAACCAAGTACCACAGCGAGGGTAGGCACCTCTCCTATGCTGGCTGAATGTGGCTCTGAAGAGCTGCTGTAATACATTAAATAACAAATCCACCCAGCTGCCACCTACATGTGGCAGCTCTACCTACTATAAGATGTGGCACCTCAAAGTTGCCTCAATAATTTAAGTCTGTCTCACCAGGTTATCTGTATCCCTGTCTCTGTATGTGTGTTACGTGACTTGGGTCTCTCCTACTTGTTACTATGTGGATCAGCTACACTTGGAGAGACAGTGAAAGCTCAGTCAGTGTGCCCAAAGATGGAAGCTGGATACTAGCTATTAGAGGAGTGCCACCTTTCCTGTTTTTGTTTGTTTGTTTGTTTGTTGTTTTGTTTTGGTTTGGTTTGGTTTTTGGTTTGGTCTGGTTTGGTTTTTTGTTTTGTTTTTGTTTTGTTTTGTTTTGTTTGTTTGGGTTTGGGTTTGGTTTTGTTTTTGTTTTTTAATAAGAAATTTCAAAAGCATGATAAAGACACTAAAACTTTGAAGAATGTTCCTAAAAGGGCAACTTCTTCCCAGCTCAAAGTTTATTCCCAGGACAATAGATTAGTAGCATTTAGGGCTGGAAAGGATCACTAGTTTAATCAGTAGACTAAAAAAGATCACAGTCACTAGTGCCAGGCTTTGATTTTTACACTGACACTATGTGGCTGCCTCCCCTTCTGTGGGATTTTATAGCACTCAAGATACCTCTGTCTTACCCCAGCCCAATTCATGCTCTAATCTTATCCAATTCATCTATTGCTTTGCTATCTCTTATCCCTCAGATGTTCCAGGATCCATGTTCTGCGATGTTTCCATCATTCACAGGCCATACCAGATGGGAAGCAGTCCCACAAGATGCTGGCAGTGTTTGTGTGACAACTCCAAGGCAACGCAAGGGCAGTCTATGCGCTGTCTGCTTTTTCCTTTAGGATCAGCACCTCCTAATTTTGGCTCGAGACTGACCAGGGATAGATGGTTTGTCTCCCCAGACACTACAGCAGCATTCAACTCAGAGTCCTGAGCTAAGCCTCTCCACCTTGAAGGTGATGATATGGGCAAAGTGCTGGCCAGGCTCGGAGCGCTTGAGCAGGCTGCCAGAGTCTTTCTAGATGGGGCTGCTGGGAATGCGGTAATTTCTGGTGAAGAGAAGGTGTTTCTCTGCTCTCCCCTTTCCACTGTCTTACAGCTGCTGAGCTACTTCTCTCTCCCCAAAGATCAGTTTTGATCTTTGGCTTGCCTGATGGTGACAACTCTGAAGCACTCTTAGGAAGGACAAAGTCACAGACCTCAGGTGAAACATGCTGCTGTCAGCTGCTGCTGCAGAAAGGGCGGTGGCCAGAAGTGCCTCTGCATCTCGTTTGCAAAGAAAAATAAATGGGTATAAAAAGAAACTTGTTTTCTCAGAAAGTCAGCTCTGAAGGTCCCCTGAACTTGTGTAATCTTTTTACAGCCTGAATGTGACTAGATACATGAGTGGATGGATTGGGATGCTGCAGCAGGATAGGCTACAGACAGAAATGAAGGTGCTGACAAATTACAGTTAGTTTCTTTGGTACAGTTTATTCCAGAGACCTTGCTACCGCTTCTAGGGAAGGAGTTACCCTTGAGGGAATGCAGGAAGTTTTTTAAAGTCTCAGGAGATAAAATCTCTCATAAAAATGCTGTTGGCTTCCAGTTAGAACCCCTCTAAAGAGCATCTCAGTATGCTTTGGGTTATCTGTGGACTGTATGCACAAACGTACTCCTTCCTTGTGTTGCATGCACTAAAAAGGAAAATTTAGGTGTCAGCTGTTTTTATGACTTCTGGAATTTTCGAGAGATAGAAAAACACAAGCAACTTTGCTGAAGAGAGCCACAAATCCATTCTCTGGCTTCCTGGATGAGTTTTCTCTGGTTCTGCTATGGATGGACTGCAGTTTCTGTCCCAGCCTTAAATTAATTGGCATTGAGGATCTTTACTCTGTTTCCAGATGGGAGAATGAAAAATTCCCAAATGAGGTCTCTAGCTCCATATTTCCATCTCTGGAGAATCAGTCTTCATGAAGTCCCCTTGGGCATTGCTGATCTAGTAGAAAGCCTCCACAAGACTTTGTTTTCTGCTGATCAACAAAGCTTCTTCCAGTCAGATTTTCTCTTGGTGTTTCAGGGGGAGTTGGGAATCTTAATAGGATTTGAGCATCATCGGTAAGCCTAGAGCAGCTATGTCATCTGATAAATAACTTCTTGTTAGAATTCTGTCTTAGCTATAGAATGATTTTTGCATTGACTTGTGTTTGCTCTTGTAATGATGCAAGTTATACCCTGTTTCCCATGCATGAATAATCAGACATTGATTAGAGGGGAGTCCCTGCAAACACTGAAGTTTTTGTGACAATCCTCAGGACTCCGTCAGGCCAACACCTCACTTGTAGCTTGATGAGGACACTGAAACCCTTCTTCCAGAAAGCACCAGGAGATCCTGGATGATTATCAGCTATCAGTGACATAACTTCAGCAAAAGTTTTCTCTCTTTGAAACTGATCTGGGATGCACAAATCAGTACTGATCCAGAGGGGAACCTTGTGGCAGACTAGAAATACCTGTTACTGGTTCCCCAATGCTACCTGTGGCTTCTGGGTTCTCCTGGCACATTCCAGAGCCAACTGAGGATTCAGCTGAGGATGTGAGCATTGCCTCAGTGTGTACACGTGGTCCAGAGAATAGTGCGAGCTTCCTTCTTCAGTGGGAACAGCAGGTATTTGCAACTCTGGAGAAAAAAAAAACAACTCCAGCTACTTCCACAGTGGGATTTTTAAGACAGCAGAACCAAAGAATAGGGTCTGCTCTGTGGAAATTCTTTGGAATTGTGTCTTGCCACAGTAATGAGGGTAGGTACAATCTGTGAAGAAATACCTGGATAAAATGTCTCTGCTTTTGATGTGTGCTGGGTATATGGCAACTGGTGGGGAAAGAGTATTATGACAGTGGACATTCCTGCCTCTTTGGATGGGATTTCCGCTGTTTGCCACATGCTGTGTCCTGAAGCATTTGAGCAAGATGTGTGAGGGTGAAGGTCTCTAATGCCTGGAGGTAGAAGTCTTCCGATGAATACTAGGACCAAACAGGATTCAGCCAAACTGAGTTCCATTGCACTAGAAGAGAATCCAGATTAGGTGGTGGGATTCTGCTGGCTGACAGGGATGCTGTTCCCATGTCTTTCACACCACAGAAATGCTTTCCCGGTTTCACAGACAAGAGCCCCAAGACATATCTCAAAGTGCTCTAAGTGCCTAACCTTTTCCATTTTAAATGGTACAAATCAGATTCCCACTTTCCTAGCAACATGGAAGCTGGAGAGTCCTGGTTTTATTATTGCTTCACTGTGCCAAGAACTCTGCATCAAATCTATTATTTTTACTGTCCTGCTTTCTGAATAAGGGATGTGGGTAACAATACACCGTACCTGGAAAACATCTGCAATGTTAGTTTAGGCTTGTGGCTCCCTGGAAAGATCCAGTGAACTGCAAGCAAAAGCAATACATCAGAGCACTGCCAGAAAAAGCAATAAATTAGCTCTGTACAAGCGATAGTTTCCCAGCAATAGCCAACTCAAGCGGCTCTAATAGGTTTCTACTGACTTTCTGCTGAAAGAATGACACTCGGCTTGAAAAACAGAGATGTATCTGTGGGCAGGGGAGGTTCTCTTGCACCAGAGGCTGCTGTGAGCTCTGTGAGGGACACTTCAACACTTCCAAACTGGAAAATCTGCAGTCAAAATGACCCTGAAACAACCACTTCATCGACATTGAAAAGAAACCTTACAACTTCATAAATCAAACTGTGGTGAGGAAAGGAAGCAGAGGTTCTGTGGTCTGAAACTGGAGGGTATACCCAATGGGAAGAGCACCTTGGGCTCAGAGTCAGTTTTATCAAACTTTTAGGAGTAAACAATGTTGTTCTGGCTGTGTCTGATAGTCAGAGGATGGATGGCCTAGTATAGTCTGGGACAGGCAGATCTACAGCTGAGCAAATGGAACTGAACATGTAATATATATCAGGCAACCCAGCCTCTTTTCCTCCTGAGGGTAATGCCAGCCATCTGCTATTTCACTGAATCCAAAATAATGGGAGAGACGTGCAGAGTGGGGAAATAATAAAATGTTTTGTAAGTGAGAGCAAAAGGATCAACTGACAGGGTCTGATCTGCCATGGCTTGTGGCAAGGCTCTGGCATTACTACCCAGACTTCTCCTGCCATACCCATGGGAACATTGTGTGTGGCGCTGGAGGACCGTCCCTTAGACACATGTAGTATCTGCTTTCCTTCTATCAGCTGCTTAGAAAATTGCCTGCCGTAAGTCACCTGTCCATCTGTCTCCTGGGGACTGGTGCCTTCTCCTTCCTTCCAGAATCAGGGATGGAGCCGAGGGTGGGGGTGCTGCTGGTACCTCACAGAGCCATGGGGACATGTCAGCAAGAGGTGGAGGAACATCCCACAGGGGCCACTACAGAGCTGGCATCAGTGGGCAGAGCTATCAGAGTAAGACCATCCAGAGAGAGCAGAAAGGTGTCACCTGATCTTCCCTGGTCCCATCCACAGCCCTGGCTGATTCAGCCTGGGAGCCACCAGTGTTGGGTAAGGCACAAAGGGCAGGAGCCACCCAAACCTCCTTGATCCATCCCCTCTTTTCCCTCAGCAAATCAAGCCCTGTCCAAGAGGAGCCAAGGTGGAGCGGAATAGAGATGTGATGCGGGGTAGAGGTGACCCCACTCTCAGCCATCAGTGAAGTGTGCTGCCCGTGGCAGCAGGGCTGTAAATCTCCCCCTTGTAAACACTCAGCGGTTCCTAAGTTCAGGCAGATGTAAAAGGAAATCCAATGCGCATTTACAAACTCCCAGCCCATTACCTAACAGGTTCATAAAGCAGCGAACAAAGGCTAATCAATATGCTGAGTGCAGGGAAGAGGGAGCCTGAAAGCATTCGCTAATCGGGGGATGCAGCTGGCTTTATAAATAAGTTGGGTCTCTGATGGGGAGTGGGCCCAGGGAGCAATTCGGCACCTTTCATCTCCAGTCACCCCTAAATGTCTCTCTCCAGTAATGAGCTCGCAGCTCTCCTTCCTCCACAGCACAGAGAAGAGTGAGAACGAAGAGGCAGGCGGAGCAGCCACTAATGGTGACTTGCCACAGGGATCAATAGATAGGAAGCAAATTAACAAGGATCCCGTGGGAAGGGATTTGTTGATATGCGGGGTGGCAGGGAGTGACATCAGATTGGACGGCTGTGCCGTTTTGGAAATACCAACCTGTAATGAACCCCCGAGGGAGCAGGAGGGAGGAGACCCTACTGCCTGTCTGGGATGCTGTCTTTTCTCACCTCATCCTTCCATTAGCATATACACCGCTTTGATTTTTCTTCCTAACAAGTTCTCTCACTGTCTCTCTCACTCTCTGAAGTGCTGTTCTCTCCAGCAAAATTTCTCCCATAGATCCCTTTAGAGAAGGGGTAGGGTCCTCAGAGTCTGGGGCTCCTTGTGGAGGGTGGGCTAGGGGGCTTTGCATTAGGACATACCTGAAGCCTTTTCTAAGAGTCTTGTAGCCTTCCTGCCCTGGAAATGTGGGATGTGCTTGAAAGAAAAGCCCCGGTCTACTTAGTTTGCCTCATAACCATCATGGCACTGTGCTGTGAGGTGGGGAGGTGGGGAGGGAAGGCTCAGCCAGCTGTTGCTCACTCACCCTTACCTTCTCTGGACCTGGGGATGGAGGGGACTGCTTCTCCAGGCAATGAAGCTGGGAAAGCATGCTCCTTACCCTGCTTAGCCTGGCAACTTGGTCAGTCTTTGATTTCTGTGTCAGCATTCCCAGAGATGGAGATGTCCTCAGGCCCCACTGCCAGCAGCCAGTACAGCAGGCTGGAGAAAGAGACTGTTCCCAGCCAGCTGCTACACAGAGCAACCTCATGGATGTGGGGCTGTCATGAGGCTGGGTTATGGAGCAACTGTCTTCAGCAGAAACTGGTGCAGCCTGTCCAGACTGTTAGAATCATAGAATCATTTAGGTTGGAAAAGACTTTTAAGATCATAAAGTCCAACCATTAACCCAGCACTGCCAAGTACAGCACTAAACTCATGTCCATAAATACTCCAGCTACAAAATTAGACAGCCCTAATTGTAAAGGGCTTCTCCTGCCTTCATTCTTTACCTGCAGATGGGGAGCCTGGCACTGCAGGTGTTAGTCCTGGTGTTCTGCACCTCAGCAAGAGCCAGCAGACCAGGCAGGAGGAAGGTAAGAATTGATTGCCTGCTAGACCAAGCCTGGCTGGGAAAGGGTAGGAGCTACAAGTTGTGGTACCTGCTGGAGGTGGTTCAAATAGGAAATTTGTGCACAAGTAGTGCTTTTAAGAACCAGAAGAGATTTCATTATCTTCATGCTCACATTAGGCAGCCCTGGCAGGAGGGTGGGTGGATAGGAAGGACAGTAGCAGGGGAAAACAGTGGGCTAAGAAAAGCAAGTCCTGAGAACACACGGAGAGCAGGACGACCCTGCTGGAGTGCGAGTCATGTCTGCAGAGCAGATCCATATTTAGTACCTCTCCTTCATTGCAGATTTCAGGGCACAGCATAACAAGGCATTAGTTGGCTGCTGAGACAGCCAGGGATGGATTTCCTAGGGCAGACAGCCAAGAGGATGGAGTCTCAGACTCCTGGAAGCCACCACCAGCATCTTTGCAAGGCAGATCTTGTTTCTGGACAATACTGAATGTTTCTCATGGAGCTGACCAAGGAGACCCTCATGCTCCTGAAGCTGGCTCAAAGCAGAATTCATGAGAGGAGCCTGAGTCCAGTGAGTTTTGTGAGGGACACCAAAGTTCCCTTGGAAGGCTGGGGAGCAAGTGAACTCGTGTGGGCTGGAGATGCATCTCTGGGCATGCAGAGGTGCATGTCCCATGCCTCTTGCTCTCAACACAGGTGGAGGAGGAAGCAGGACAGAGACCACCAGCTTCTGCAGCAGGCAGCCCAGGCAGCCTTCTGGCAGCTGGTGATCTGAAGGAGTGGGGGTGATCTTCTGGCCGTGCTGCTTGTGCTGCTCTGGCAGGGAAAGTTCTTACTGTGCTGGCAGCCCCTCCTGACTGCCTGACAGCTTATGCCCTGAGGGGCTCATTTGGTGCAGATCCAGCAGCGAGTTCAAATCTCATTTAATTTTGCATGCACGCATAAAAGAGAAAATCCTGTTGTTTCTACAACTAGCTGCTTGACTGCCTGCCCAAACAAAGAGGCAAGATAAAGTGACCCTGGGCATCTCTGCTAAGCCATGGCCAAGGCTCGATTGAGCAAATGAACTTGCAGATCGAGAACAGAGAAGTTCATGGATTTGCTTTGCCTTGGTTGTCCTCTCTCCAAACACTACTGGCAACCAAAGAAGCGGGGTCCCCTAGGCCCCTTTCTTGCTGGGAAGGCAGGAACAGGACCAGCTTTCCAGTAAGGGGAGGAGTGAAGAGAGTCCTCATTGGGGAAACCAGAGCACTGAGTGATCGGCATCTCACTTACAGGAAAAAGAACAGCATCTCTTTGGGAGGCACCCTTTGTCCTGCTTCTGGCACTACAGCCAGCTTGCCTGCCCTACTTTTCTGCTTTCCTCTCTGCTCATGGTCAAAGACCCCAGTATCTCTGGGCAGGATTAGGAAGGTATGCTCTGGACTAGGCTGTTAACAACTTCCAACCCTCCTTCTGTCTCCCCCTCACTGCCTTCTCATACTTCCATCTCTCCTTCCTGATCTCCACCTGCCCTCTTCATCCTCCCTCCTCTCTCTCCCTCCTGTTTGATCCTATCCTCCCTCTGCAGTGGAAGTGTGCCTTTCAAGCAGCCTATTAAAGGGACTTGCTGAAGGAGCCATTAGTTGGAAGCAAAGTGGAGGCCTGTGGTGTTGAAAACAAAAAGCACAGTGGTGGAGAGCAGGGAGGGAAGAGCCAGTTGATAAAATACAGCTCTTCTCCACTACCAAGTTCAGTGTGATCCCCCTCACCACACATCAGTCAGCCATGCAGTGACAGCCATTTGTGAAGAGTTCAAGTGTTCCAATCTGCATTTCCTAATGAAGACAGTGACTCACAGAGCCCCAACTGAATCGCACCTCCTCCCTTCAGCCCCAGTATGTGAAGCATGAGCATCTGCTGGGGTTTCTGCTCATCTGGAGGAGAGCAGCTCTCACCAGGAAGCAAGAGGAAAGTATGTAAGCATGAGAAGGGACCTAAGAGAAATCTAAAGGTGACAGTAGAGGTTGTCAAGCTCCTGGCTCTTTCAGGCTGTTAGGAAACAGGTGAGAATGAGTGTATTGTCTCAACAAAAACACACTGCCTTGTTGACATAGCAGGGCTGTGTGTGAGGTTATCTCGCTCTTGCTCACTGTTAGTGGTGAAGAAAAAAGGTCTGTATATAAGAACAGAAAATAAGATTGGATTGGACAGCCTACCTCTCTGTGCCAAAGCCCTTTGAGGTTAGAACGATGTCTGGATTTGAAGACAACATCTGTTGGGACTGCTTGGCAGGATCTTCTGGTTATTATTGTTCTTCCCCCTGTGTCAGTGAAGCCTGGCTTCTTCCCCAGCACCATCCAAGCAATTGCCCTGCACAGAGCTCTGCCCTAGCAAAGAACCACTGTGAGCCTGCAGATTTGTTTGCTCTTTCTGTGGTATCTGTGACCATAGAGTGCCTTTGCTTGGGCAGAGAGAAAGTGCCTGCAGGATGGCTGGAGTTCTGTATTCAGGGCCTATGTACTGCAGTTAGTAAAATACTGGGATGCTATAGATATAAGGTCATATAAGCAAATGCTCAAGATTCTAAGAAGGCATCACTCTTCACCCATCTTCACCTGCTTCACCGGTCTTCACTTGCTTTGAGATCACTGAATGCAATATTTGATATAAATGCAAAATAATTATTATTTTAAAAAAAATTATTAATTTCCAATTTCCTCCCATTATACCCATATGCACCAAGGATTACATTCCCATTGCCAAGCATTTGTGCATAATCTCTGGAGAGTGGCTTGTCTGATGTGTTTATTCAGTGTAAATAAGTTAAATGCTGGGGAATGAATGATCCTACTAATTGAATTTATTCTTGTAAATTTAATATGCCATTCTAGCCAAATGTGCCATCAAAAATGTGCATTATTTTGTTCGTCTGCATGGTCATCATTGAAATTCAGAGAACACATCTGAAATTTCAGTGCATGGCTGGAGGAAATGGTCTTTCCAGCAACCCATGGGAATACAGTGTGGAATTTCAATATTTGTATATCTAGAATGACTGGATCCAGTGACTGCAATTGTAATGCTGAAATATGCCCACTGTGAGAGAAAGTACGGTTTCTTTGCTTTACTAACTTCTCAGATATTGATTCCTTTGAGGCTTAGAGTCC